TATTCAACTTCTTCTGGTCAAACAAATACTTTGGGCTTTTGTGGTCACTAAAGACTTAAAATCTTAATCCATACAAATAGTGTCTCTAAATCTTAAGCATAAACACCACTGTTGCTAACTCTGAATCATGGGTAGGATAATTCCTTTCATGAACCTTAAGTTGTCTTGAAGCATAAGCTACAACCTGACCATTCTTCACAAGTACACCACCTATACCCATTTTAGATGCATCACAATATACTACAAAGGGTTCACTCAGGCGTGGAAAATTAAGACTGTTGCCTACATCAATCTTTTCTTAATATCTTAAAAACTTGCTTCACACTTCCCATACCACACAAAAGCTTAACCTTTCAGGGTTAATTGGGTCAAAGGCATTTCTAACTTAAAAAATCCATCAATAAATCTCCTATAATAACTGGCTAAGCCCATAAAACATCTTATATTCATTTCCGACTTAGGTGTTTCCCATTGCAACATGATATCTACCTTAGATAGATCCACCGCTATTCCATCACTAGAAATTACATGTCCCAGAAAAATGACTTCTTTAAAAAAAACTCACACTTTGAAAACTTATCATATAATTTATTATCCTTCATAGTTTGCAAAGTTATCCCCATATGCTCTACATAATCTTCTTCTAACTTCGAATACACCAAAATATCCTCTATAAACATGACTACAAACTGATCCAAATAGGGCTAAAAAATCTATTCATATACTCCATGAATACTCGCGGCACATTGAGTACACCGAAAGGCATAACAGAATACTCATAATGACCATAACGAGTCCTGAATGTCGTCTTAGGGATATCTTCAGACGTAACCCGAATCCGATGGTAACCTGAACTCAAATCATTCTTATTGAATGCAAAATCTATCACCAATTGATCCATAAGATTGTCAATTCTATGGGGGAGAGGATACCAATTCTCAACAGTAACCTAGTTCAATTTTTGGTAATCCATGCACAATCTGATTGTACCATCTTTCTTCTTAACCAAAAATGCTAACATACCCCACGACAATACATTAGGCCTTACAAACTATTCTTTAAAAGTTCTTCCATCTATTTCTTAAGCTCACTCAATTCCACTACATACATTTTATACGGTTCCATGGATATAGGTCTATTAACAGATACTAAATATATAGAAAACTCAACTTTATGCTCCTGTGGAAAATTGTAGATGTCCCTCGAAAATACTTTTGGAAATCACACACTATCGGAAGATACTCAACTAAATATTTACTCTCTACTTTCAGGGAAGAAAACAACATGTACACTTTAGTATCCTCTTGTAAAGATACTTTCACTTGGTTGTTGGTTTTCTGCTTTGCTTTGGCACTTTGGGTCGCATAAGGCTAGCCACGATTTTGATTACCAAATATCTTCTCATTCACACTCTTATAGTGAGTATATCTTACTCTAATTTCTTTATCATAACTTCTACAATTGTTGACCAACACTAAAAATGAAGACTCTCTTGATATCTAATAAACTGCTTAATCTCAGGGCGCATACCACTTTCAAATTTTACACACTTGGAACCTTCAACATCCACACTATTACAGCAAGGACAAAATCTGACAACTCTTAGATCTTGGCTACATAGTCAGCCAAAGACATGTTACCCTACTTCACCTCCAAGACTTTAATCTTCTTATGGTTATGAACATCTACTAGAAAATACTTGTCCAAAAATAGTTTCCTAAAATTATTCCAAGTAATAGTAGTACCAACGACTTCCAATCTTTGGGAAACATTTTTTCACCAATACTCAGCTTATTGAGATAACGTATGAAGCACAAACAACACCTTATGTGCATCATTACATGCCATTACCCTGAAAGTTTTATCAATCTCTTGAATCCAATAGCGAGCACTTAGAAAAACTCGAGTATCACATGATCAATTCTTCAAGCAGCCATTCCTTCTTGCACAACCCAAACATAAACTAGTTGTAAACACTAAAGTGAGTAGAGCTTAAGAGACTATAGTACTAACAATGTTAACACTTGTGTTGTACACGAGGGTGTAGTATACTCATAACAAACAAGGCCGGATGGACCGACCTACTCTGATACCAACTATGTGACACCCTAAATTCAATTTTTTTTAATATTTTAATATAAAAATAAATTGCAGAATAATTTATTTAATAAACAATAAATAAAACACATGGTATCACACATTATTTATAACTTGTGCATTAGTTAGAAAATTCGCATACTTTGGTACATGTTCATGGTTAAAGACGAAACATTGAAAAACAAAAACTTAATATTCTTTAAAATTGCAATCCCATCCCTGATTTCATTGTATTAGAACTTTATTTAGACCCAATCCCTAGCTGACTAATACATGTTAGCAATAAAAACACAATTAAGACTAAGATGGCCTTCTACACCATCTTCATTGAATTGCCTCGTGAAGAAACTACTCCTTAGTATCATCCTGAGGTTATATTGTACAAATGTACATTATACAAACATGAAAAATAGGGGGATAAAAATACATTTTACAATAATAAATGCTATAAAAATAGCAAGGTCAAGCATTCATAGTCATCATCATAACATAAAAAGTACCACACTAATTTATACAGTCATATATCAACTCACATGAATGCTATGCAATGCACGCTAACCTCTACTACGTATCCATGTGGTACCAAATACTAAACTCATAGTATAAATTCCTGGAAGAACATGTGGGCTATGCTTCGTACCATAACACTCTTTCTAAACGTCTATGGACCTAAAATTCATAGGAATACATGTGGGGTACATTCTTACCACGACACTCTCCCGAGTTCTACAATTTAGGAGTACGTGTGAGCTACGTCTGTACTAGAACACTCTCCTAGACGTTAGAATATCTGCAATGCCTAAGAGTACATACGAGCTACATCCATACTACAACACTCCCCTAAACACAAATACACTCCCACACTAGTATGATGCATGAAAAACCATAGACAATAATCCTCCTGAACCTCCTTCCTCTTTGAAACACATTACTTCACATTTCCATATAAGGGGTTCATGATAATTTCCTCGGAACACTTTTTTGCCATTGCCACATAATGCCTTCATATTGATTAATTTCAATCATTTGTAATTTCCCACAATCATACAGATGCAACAATATCATTAACCTTTATCACAAGAAATTTTATCATGTTAGCTTTCCAATGCATCTGACATGCACCTCAAACAGACTTACGAAACTTAAGTTACGCGCAAAACAAGCTGACCAACACTAGACTAAAATTTGGCATCATGCTTGGTACAAAAACCAAATACCTATTAAGAAAACTAATTACCGTGGAAATAAATTATTGAAAATTAAAGAATTAATGGGTAAGAGAAAACACCAAAATTATAAAGTGACAAACTCCTCCATCCAAGAATTCCTCCTTGAAAGTTCCCACTATCTTGAGAGTTTTTAACATAATATGCCCCGACCCTTCTTATACAAGGATTAAAGTTTTTCAATGGCTAACTTCTCAATCAAGACGGGGTTTTAAGTACACAAACCTTCACAACCATCTAAGCGTTTTTTAATTGTAGGCTAAGTTATAGAACCGACTGAGAGTTTTAACTATGGAGACCTCTCCATCCAACTGGAAGGTTTTTTAACATCATACTAAACTCACAAATTGACTGAGAGTTTTAACTACATAGACCTCCCCAACCAAATAGAGGTTTTACTGGGTTTATCTCAACAACCAAACAAATTTTTTTTACTTAGTTTAACTCATAACCAAAACAAATTTTCTCCCAATGAGATATTACAAATATGCTCTTACACCCGACTAGACTACCTTACCAATATAAAAAATTTCACTCTCAAAAGCATTAAGGTAAATGTGAGGAAATATAAAAGAGAGAAGAGAGTGATAGAAAGGTATCTCAAATAAGTTTTCTGGTGTGTTAGCAATGAGAAATGAACCCTTTATTTATATGATAAAATGTGGCTGAAATATTGATAATCGATTATCTCTGGTGGATAATCAATTACGACACCCTAAAATGGAAGATTTTGATTTCTTGTCGTTATCAACCATTTAAGGGACTTCTACAATCAGTTATAGGCGTTAAAAAGTGAAATAATCTATTATCCAATATGCATAAACGATTATCCCTTTGTAAAACATGTTTCTAATGGATCAAACAATTCCCTAATCAATTTTCTAAGCTTTTGAAACATTTTAAGGTAAAAAGAGAGGCTTTTTCAAAGGGTTGAAAATATGTGTGTGATTTTCGTATAGTCGGAAGTTAATCTTATACCTTAATAAACACTGACAACTCAACGTAGACGAGCTTTCATACTCCATCTCTATCATAATTGTGAAACTTTTCATTAATTCCTTGCAACATTATCGTTGACTTTAAATCTTTTCTGGAACATAAAATCTTTTTTGATGATGCTTGAGATAGTAACCAAAATATATTTTCTTACTAACAACCAATATTTTAATAATAAATAAATTTTAACTTATACATAATTATTCATACTCTCCAACATACAAATATTTCAAACATACAAATTTATAAAACTGAAACATGATAACGAAATAGTGTGAATGTTGATACAAATCCAAAACTTATATTTAACCTTTATCCTAAAATAGTTATGAGATAAGGTGAAACCAGTCAATTATACATGTAATCATACATTTAACATATACATTTGACACATTTAAAGAAGAGATGAATCCAAAATAGTGTGAATGTAGGGTTAAAATTAATTGAAAGGTAGAGCTTTTTTGAACTAAAATAGTGCTGAGTTTAACTGGAAGTTTGAAAAAACCAGGAAAGATTTACAAATGCAACCGGTTCTGACAAGGTAAAACAAATTTATAGTTGTTGTATTATACATATTACAAATTATTATGATATTTTTACCAACATATTACAACATAATTATATAAATTTAGAAGAGTGGTCTTAGTGTATGTGAATAGACATTAACATCACATCCATATTTCAATTAGCAGTACAAATAAGAGTTCCATCTCCTTGATAAAGTACACAACCAGTTGATGCAAGACAACAGTTGCATGGTGGATTGAGGTGTTGATCACCAGAAGAAGGACAAATCATGTATGCAGCTGAATCATTACATATAAAGGGGCAAACTTTAGCATCAACAATTTTTAGATTGCCTCCCAAAAGAATTGCACCTCAATCATAAACACAACAAAAAGTTAGTTTTTTTTAATTATTGAAAGGATTGCACCTCAATTTATATATATAAAACAAAGATAAATTGTTGAAAGGAAAAGAGATGGTGGGTTCAAGGTTTACCACAGACAAATACAAGAAAGATAGTCTCAATCTTTAAAGCCATGTTTCTTTGCAACGCTAGTGAAACTTATGTCTCATATTTATAGCATAAAAAAATATTAACATACATATATGAAAGGAATCATTGGCTGATTATTTATTTTGGTCACAAAACATGTGTTAATTATTTAATTACAACAATAGTGGCGTGCTTCATGTCAAAGATAAGAGAAATGAGATATTCTACGAATATTAAATTAGATTTATTAAAATATTATATTTGATTTGATTTGATTAAATTTAATATTTAAATATGATTTAAATTGTGTAGACTCAAACTCAATCAGAGTTGTATATAAATAGTCATAGTCTGTATTATTATTTATACAATTCAATAATATAAATATTTATTTCCTTTATTATTCTCTCTTTCTCTCTCCAGTATTAAAAGTGCCTCAAGCACTAATAAATCAGTATCCAGAGCTTCTAGTTATTGTTCTTGATCGAGTTTTCAAGAATTTCACGTCAGAGATTGTGTTTCTAGGGCAAGTGAATCAACTGTTGCGAAGATGGCTAGTGATAAGGGTATTTTGAATTCTCTTCCAAAGTTTGACGGTAAGAATTAAATTCGATGGAAAAAACAAATGCAATCCTTGTTTGGCTTCCATGAAACCCTAGAAGTGATTATCGATGGTGTTTCTGCGTTGGCTGCAAATGCAACTGACGAACAGAAAAAAGCTCACAACGAAGTCAAGAAGAAAGATTACAAGGCTTCTTATTGCATTCAGACGGTGGTTGATGCTGCTAATTTCGACAGAATCTCTCATGCTGAAACAACGAAGGAGACGTGAGATGTTCAAGGTTAAAAAGTTATAAACCTTGCGTCGGCAATATGAGTTGTTGTCGATGGGAGAAGATGAAAAGTTGCAGAATATGTGTCGAAGGTTCAAAAACTCGTCCATCTCATGAAGGGTTGTGGTTAAAACCATAACTGATAAGATGATAGTTGAGAAGGTAATGAGAATGTTGACCTCTCACTTTGATCATGTTATCGTAGCTATTCAAGAATCCAACAATCTTAAAACCACTAAAGTGGAAGATTTAGTTGGTTCGTTGGAGGCACGTGAGATGAGGATTGTCGAAAGGGAAGGAGTTTAAGACTTGATACAGGAACTGCCAGCTCAGTCATGAAAAAAGGATGGTGGTTCCAACAAATTCAAAGGAAAGTTCGACAAGACTCAGGAAAAGAAGTCTAGGTCAAAACCTCACAAGCATCAGGTTGAAGATGGAGCTTCTGAATCCTCGAAAGGAGGAGGAAGAAACTATCGAAAGGGAAAAGAAGATAAAAAAAGGTGTGCATTGCTATAACTGTGAAAAGTGAGGTCACGTATCCAAGAATTGTTGGTACAGAAAAGACAAGGGATCGACAGACAAGGACGAAGGAGCGAACCTTACACGCCAAGATTCAGATGATTCTGAAGGTGGTATAGTGGTTATAGATGCAGTTGTAGATAACCATGTTGAATCTAAGATCTGGTTTCTCGACTCAGACTACTCGAACCATATGACTGGTCGAAATGAGTGGTTGGAAGATTTTGACGAGTCAAAGAAGAGCAAGGTAAAACTTGTTGATAATAGTTTGTTACAAGCAGAAGGTACTGGCCACATAGTCTTTCAAATGAGTAATGGGGGGAAAGCTATGATCAAAGATGTGCTCTATATACCTGGAATGAAGTGAACTTGCTAAGTGTTGGACAACTAGTCGAAAAAGGTTTCTCATTTGTCATGAAAGATGGAGTTTTGAAATTGTTTGACACCAAGAACAATTTGGTCTTAAAATATCTGTTGTCGAAGAACATGGCATTTAATACTATGATCAGTTCGACAAAAGTTCAATGTTTGAAAATTATTGTTGACCACAAGGATAGTTGATTGTGGAATTTGAGGTTTGGACATTTGAACTTTTGATCACTTAATCAACTGATTACTTAAGATATGGTTACTGGTATTCCAAGTCTTGAGATGCCTGACAAACTTTGTGAAGGTTGTCTAGTGGGGAAGCAATCCAGAAACTCTTTCGTTTCGAATATGCCAATGAGATCATCTTGCATACTCGAAGTGGTACATTCAGATGTATGTGGTCCATTTGAAGAACATACAATTGATGGAAACAAATATTTTGTTTTGTTTGTCGATGATTTTAGTCGAAATATGTAGATCTATGTGATCAAACGAAAGGATAAAGTATTCGAAATCTTTAAGAGATTCAAGATACTTGTCGAAAACCAGAGTGAGAAGAAGATCAAAGTTCTGCGAACAAATAAAGTGGTGAATACACATCCAAGATGTTTGAAGATTTCTGTGTAGAACATGGTGTTGATCATGAGGTAACTGTTCCTTATACACCTCAACATAATGGAATTGTTGAAAGAAGAAACATAACCATATTAGATATGGCGAGATGCATGATTAAACAAAAGAATTTTCCAAAGTCTTTATAGGGAGAAGTTGTTTGGATTTCATATTATATTTTGAATAGGTGTCCTGCCAAGATATTGAAGAACAAAGTTCTTGAAGAAGTATGGAGTGGCAAATGACCATCAGTTAGTCATTTGAAGGTGTTTGGATCTATGTGTTACAAGCATGTTCCTGATGCAAGAAGAAGGAAGCTTGATGACAAGAGTAAACCTATGATTCTAGTAGGATATCATAAAACTGGTGCATACAGACTATTCAATCCAGTTAATGAGAAGATTATATTGAGTCGAGATATTGTGATTAATGAAAATTCTTCCTGGAATTAGAATTCCAACAATTCAATTAACAAGCCATTGATGAGTTCTAATTTCGAGGAAGAAACTGATGAAGTAGAGGTCGAAGGAATTGTTGAAAATCCAGTCGAAGTCGAAGAAGAATCAATTGCTGACATTCCTGACATAGTCAAAGTCGAAGAAGTTGTGGATGAAATAATCCAAAGACCTCAAAGAAATAGAGTTCTTCCAACAAGACTTCATGATAATGAAGTGGTGGGTGATGATGAAGTCACACCAGATGGAGAATTAGTTTATTTTTCTTTACTTGCAGGTGCTGAACCAATTAACTATAATGAAGCTTTGAAGACTAAACAATGGAAGTTAGCTATGGTCAAATAGTTACAACCAATCGAAATAAACAACACATAGGAGTTAGTCGAATTGCTAGCACATACAAAAGCTATCAAAGTAAAGTGGGTATTCAAGTTGATACATAATGTTGATGGCTCGATAGCAAGATATAAAGAAATATTAGTAGATCGCGGGTTTCTTCAAAGAGAAGGACTCGACTACTCTGAAGTATTTGCTCCAGTAGCAAGATTGGAGACTGTTCGACTAGTGGTAGCATTGGAATGCAACCAAGGCTGGTCGATATTTCATTTAGATGTGAAGTCATCATTTTTGAATGGTCCTTTAGACGAAGAGGTCTATTTCACACAACCTCTAGGGTTTGTGATTCAGAAGGAAGCGAGTAAAGTATATAAATTGCACAAAGCACTCTATGGCCTCAAGCAGGCACCTAGGGCATGAAACAAGAAGATCGACTCATACTTAGTCGAATTAGGATTTGTCAAATGCAAATTGGAGTATGGTGTCTATGTTCAGGTTGTAGCACAAGATATAACAATCATCTTCTTATATGTTGATGACTTGCTAGTAAGTGAAAATAGCTTGGAGAACTTGTCGAAGTTCAAAGAGCTGATGATGAAGGAATTTGAAATGTTTGATCTGGGAAAATTGTCTTATTTCTTAGGTATGGAATTTCATATGTCGAAGCAAGGTATGGTGCTATATTAAATGAAGTATGTCAAAGAAATACTCAAGAGATTCAGAATGGATGATCTGAATCCTGCATTCTCCCTTGTCGAACTAAATGTAAAATTGGAGAAGAATGGAGAGGAAGATAAAGTCGATGTAACTTTGTTTAAGCAAATTGTGGAATCTCTGATGTATGTGTGCAACAGTCGACCTGATATAGGTTCCGCTGTAGGATTAGTAAGCAGATATATGAGTGAACCAAGAGTGTCACCTATGAAGGCTGCAAGAAGAATCCTGAGATATTTGAAGGGTTCGATAAATTGTGGAATACTATTTCGACGAGATTCTGAAGATAAAGAAGCAATAGTTAATTATTTCTCAGATGTTGATTGGTGTGGAGATAAGGAAGATCTAAGAAGCACAACTGGATATTTTTTTCAAGTATTCGGTGCCCTAATCTCATGGTGTTCGAAGAAATAACCTGTGGTGGCATTATCATCTTGTGAAGCTGAATATATAAAAGGGTCCTATGTTGTATGTCAAACAATTTAGATCAGATCTGTACTTGAAGAAATGAAGGTCGAAGTGAAGAAACCTCTTGTATTACAAATCGACAACAAGCCAGCCATAAATCTGACGAAGAATCCAGTTCTGTATGGAAGAAGTAAATATATTGAAGCAAGGTTTCACTTCTCGAGGGAAAAGGTAAATCGAGGTGAACTTGAAGTAAGACATTGCTCGAGTGAAATACAGTTGGCCGACATTTTCACCAAAGGATTGAAGATTGACAAATTCCTGAATTTGAGAAAGAAATTAGGAATAATTCAGATTGACTATTTTTGAGGATGTTCGACAACTTAGATTATGAGGTGTGTTGAAATATTAAATTAGATTTATTAAAATATTATATTTGATCAGATTAGATTTAATATTTAAATATAATCCAAATTGTATAGACTCAAACTCAATTAAGATTGTATATAAATAATTTTAATCTGTATTATTATTTGTACAATTCAATAATACAAATTTTTATTTTTTTTATTATTCTCTATTTCTCTTCTCAATAAAAGTGTCTCACACATTAACAAGATAGTAGTCTAAAAAAAATATTTTAAACTATCACTATATATATTTTATATAATTTAATATTTTTAAAGTTTTGACAAGAGGACATTAATTATATTTTACCATGATTCTCAAATGAATTTTAATTTTGTTCTTGGAGATCACAAGATAGTACTATTTTATTGTCGAACTCACACTTCATAGA